CTGGTCTGATTCCCACTGTTGCTTTTATCTGCTCAAGTCATGTCTTGTTTTATAAAAGAAGATGTATTTATGCACTTGACCTAGCCTTTTCTTACACATACCACATAACTGCAGGCAGCACACTTCTCCCCCTTGCGATTAATTAATCTTTTCCCCCCAAGAAATTAGAACAGTGGAGGATAAAGGGTATTCCTTTGTCTTTAAAGGTTAAAATCACATTTTTCCATGTCACATATGGATTTCAAGCCAGACTCTTATTTTTTTCTTATTTTTTGGAGATACAATTGATAAATAATATTGTATACATTTAAGGTGTACAACATGTTGACTTGATACATTTATATATTGCAATATAATGATTACCTTAGTGTTAGCTAACACCTCTATCACATCCCATAATTGTCATTTCTTTTTTGTAATGGGAACAAATTAAGATCTAGTCTCTTAGCAATTTTGAAGTTCATAATCCAGCATTGTTGACTATAGTCACTCTGCTGTGCATCAGATCTCCAGAACCTACTTATCTACTAGTTGTAGATTTTACTCTTAAACAACATCTGCCTGGTTCCCTAATCCCCAGCCCCAGTAACATCATTCTACTCTCTGTTCTTACGAGTCTGGCTTTTTTAGGTTCCACATATAAGTGACATCATATAGCACTTATCTTTCTCTGTTCAAACCAAACTCTTGGCTCATTGGGATGCCTTTAAAAATCAAAAAGGCAGGTGTTGCACATTAAAATATGCCAAGAGCGGCTCTGGTCAGGAAAATTGGGAGAACAGGCCTGATCCTCCTCTGCCATTCCAAAAGCACAGTTAAAACTGACTTCAAAGGAAACCGATATTTAGATCAATTCTGAGAAGATTAGAATTCAATCCAGTTCAACCACTGCTGGAAACTGTGGATAATATGAAAGTAATAGTCAACACAAACCCAGTCTTCAAGAAAGTTAGCGGACATTTAAGGAATGATAAAAGGTCAAGAGCATTTGTGGCAAAGTACTTTTATTCTTCCAGAACTTTGCTGTGGTTTATTTTCTAAATTGTGTTGCATTTCCAGTTAATAGCTGCCTCCTAGACTTTGGAATTACTATAAGATTGTAATTAGTGGTATAATTAAGAAATGTATTTCCATTAATAAATACAGATTTTTAAAAGCTAGTTAATAGTGCTTTAGTAAAGAAATTCTCAATGAGGAAAAAAATATTTTAAAACTTGTTTTTACTAGGTTTAACTTTGTGGGACAATAAAAAAAGAATTAGACCTTTCATAAAAAGACCTGAACTGAGTCCATTCTCTGCATTTCACCTACAGGAGAATGTGGCAATTTCACATTTCTGCAGTTGGATACTGGCTCCTTTGCCACAAGACAAGGTTCATACAACAAATCATGCTCCTCTAATGTCAGGCCTTTTAAAATCTCTGCTTTAACTCTGTATTCTGTCCTCACAATGGTCCAGAGGGCTATGGCAGCCCTTTGATGACAGCTGCCAAGTGCTGCACACTCAATATGCACCAAGTCACTTTCCCTTACCTCATGTAATTCTCCCAGCAGCCTTATGAAGAGTAGGTATCACTCTTATCCACACTGTGTACAGGCAGAAATGGAAACTTGGGGAAATAACTTGCCCAATGTCACACACCCACTCGTAACAAGGCATAGACTTGACCACAGGTCATCTGACTTCACAGCCGATGCATGCCAGTGCCCAGAGCAGGGTTCCCAGCACCAGGTCTTGAACTGGTGCCAGGCAACAAGGGCAAGTCCACTGTCTGTTGTGAAAGGAAGAAACAAAACCCCAAAAGACCAGCGTTGTGACACTTTACACAGAGACAGCTTTATGAAATAAAGAATGGTTCTTTATGGGATTATGTCTTACTTCTTCTTTATATCACACTGTCCTTATTTTATGAGATGATGAATTAAGATGGTAGTTACTTTCTTCACAATGCCCTACTTACAAAACAAAAAACCCAAAACGTTGGCATCTCATATCAGTTTTTAATTTTAAAAATTTGTTTTCATTCCCAGAAATTAAAAATCAGAAATTTACTACTGGGTGAGAAAATATCTTCCTTTCTGTAAGGCACATGTTTATCTTCTGTTGTCCACGTGACTAGCCATTGTCATCTTGAACTTCAATTTTTCATTGCCTGATTTTTAAGTGCTGTCACTTCTCTTCCCCAAACTTGGGGGACCCCAAATTAAATGCATTTATATTTACAGGAGGAGAGTTAAGTGAATAGATAATCTAATAGCCTTCTTCTGCTGTGGTTTCCAGGAGAGTGAAAAGTCCAGCCTTTTCTTATCATAACTGGCTGGAAACATTCCACATCGGAGATGTCAAGTCATAACAATGCAAGGGGAAAAAAGCCCACTTTGCTCTCAAAACGACACAGTTCTTCTATAGAAAAGACATTCTTAAAAGCTGTTTGCAATATCCTACATTAATTTCCTCTGGTACGGCGTCTCATACAAAGGGGTCTTATAAAAGGATTAAATGTGGTTGGGTGCAAAAGCACAGTAAGCCCTCTGTCAGATGCTCTGGAGGGTGGACGCCACAAACAGGGGCCTCCTTCATCAGGGTTCCCCGCAAATAGCTGACTTGAAGTTTTGTGACCAGTAATAACCTCCTTAAAAATAAACCACTTATACCATCTGCCTAACAGTGCCCTATAAATTATACCAGGAATGCGTGGCTTTTCTTCCCTGGCAAATGTCTTCCAAGCCAACAAAAGGATAAGCAGAGGGTCGGGGCAGGGCTGGGAGCGCTCCCTCTTCCAATGCCATCAGCGCGAACCACAGCTGGGTGGCCTCTCCCTATGCTCAACACCTTCCTTGGCAGGAACAAATTTGGGACAGGGGACAACAGAGCACAGCTCAGTATTTCCAGAACCAAAGGAGTCAAGATTGGAAGCAGTTAGGTTAGAACAAGCAGGCTGACGAGCTAGAATGAGCCTTCAGAGCTGGAGCAGCCAAAGAAGGTGGTGGCTGTCACCCAAGATTTGCCTGCTCGGCCAACTGAGACCCAGACGCAAGGGAGGAAGTGGGGTCAAACTATTATTTTTTTATATCTGACAAGTATATTTTAGTGATAACTACTTGGACCAGAGACCAATATGGTTTTTACATCTTTCCTCAAAAATGGAGACTTAGGTAAATCCTCAAGGGGAGAGTGAGATTTGCAGAGCAACAGTCATTTAACTTAACTCACATCCTTTGAGATGTGGTGTCACTCCGATCCACTGAGGTCTCACAAGGAACTAGCCACACGGAGCAGCAACCTCATCAAGGAGCTCTCGCACCTGAGTGATGGGGACCAATGGATGCCGGGCGCTCATCATCCCATGTTTCCTCTCTCAGTGAGGAGAGCCCGGGAGAGGTGAGAGGAGACAGCCATTTCTGCCCAATGCCCCTCAGAGAAGACAGCTCTTGGGAAGGGTGAAGTAGGCATGCGGAGAAAGGGACAAGGAAGAAACTGCAGGTTGCACAGCCCAAAGGATCTCTCCTGCAAGGTCACAGTTTCTGTAAAGCAACAACTTTAGGATCCCTCCAAACTCAAAATAGTCTGCTTGGGCCACCCCTCAGATCATAAGAGGAACAATTTCGTCTGACACTTCTTCTCAAGTGTTGGGCCTTGAGTCACAAAACTATAGAGTTTTAGTTGGCTTTTTCCTAGTTGCGTAACACAAGCAATAGCCAAGCTAATATATAAAACTTAACTAAGCCTTTCTCTTAGTTTTGTACTCTTCAAAATGAAGCCAAACATGACAACAGTGGAAAGAAAAAAGAAATTCTCAAAAAGCAAGCCCCATGTTCAGGAAATGAGAAAACGAAAAGAAAAATTCTAGCACTTACACCAAATAAAAGTATTACATTGGGTGTCATCCAAGCCAAGGTTTTTCTCCAGGGAAGTGCAAACAAGCTCATTTGAAATCAAAGTCTTCATTCCTCACCCCATCAGCCATCTCCCAGAAGGTCAGTCTCCATTATGCCCTGAAGGACCAGGAGAAGGATGTCCCACTGCTGGGTCCAGGTGGCTGCATTCTCTCTGAAATTAGACCTTTCAGAGGAGAGCATTACACTCATGTGTGTGTGTGTGTGTGTGGTGGAAGGGGCTAGGAGTAGCATTAAAGAACACCCAGGGAGCATTTCAGATCCTAATCCTGAAGGGTGGCATGAACAGCAGAGCATTGCTCTGTGGGCAAGCTTCTGGTTGTGTGAGCAGGTGGGCTGCTCTTCAACCACCTCTCCTTCCCCTCAGGTACTCTCAGCCCTCCTTCAGACAAGAAAGGAGAAAGAAACCGGAGTGACGCTGAGAGATGTACTTTGCATAAAAGAAGGAAGAAAGAACTCCAGCTACACCCAAATCCCAGCAAGATTTGTTGCTCTTTCTTTCAGAAGATCATTCAAGGCAATGTTGATACAGATACAATGGAATACTACTCAGCCATAAAAAGAATGAAATAATGCCATTTGCAGCAACATGGATGGACCTAGAGATTATCATACTAAGCGAAATAGATCAGATGGAGGGAGACAAATATATATGACATCACTTATATGTGGAATCTAATATACACAAAATGTTATGATAAATCACAGAGAAAAAAATGTGACAATGAGTGTGTATATGTCCATGAATGACTGAAAAATTGTGCTGAACACTGGAATTTGACACAACAACAAAAAAAATAAAACTGAGAGGTTTCTGTGCATTTATAGACATGAAAAGAAATAAAGTGTATATTTCCATTAAAAAAAATAAAATATGATACAAATTAACTTATTTACAAAACAAAAACAGACTCACAGACATAGAAACCAAACTTACAGTAACCAAACGGGAAAGGGAGGGGGAGGGATAGAGTTTGGGATTAGCAGATACAAACTACCATATATAAAATAGATAAATAACAAGGTCCTACTGTGTAGCATAGGGAACTATATTCAATAGCTTGTCATAAACTATAATGGAAAAGAAAATATAAATGTCAGGATATAGACAACACACTAGTGGTTACCAGTGAGGAGAGGGAGAGTGGGGAATGGCAAGCCAGGAGTAGGGGACTAAGAGGTACAAACCACCATGTACAAAATACACAAGCCACAAGCATATATTGTACGGCACGGGGAATACAGCCAATATTTTATAGTAACTATAAATGGAATATAACCTTGAAAAGTTGTGAATCACTATGTTGTATACCTGAAACTCATGATATTGTAAATCAATTATACCTCCATAAAAAACAGAAAAAATATAAATGTCAGGATGTTGAGAAGAAGGTATGTACTGGGGGAAAGAATAGATGTGAGGCAGAGTCCTTTGGGTCCTTGTCTCGGCCAAATGCAAACGCAGACTCTTCAACGTTGCACTTGGTCCTCAAATAGTGGCCTCTGGCTGACACTTTGGCACTTCTGGGCTTTATCATACTGTACATATTTATTTGGGTAGCTGGACCTCAATTCTTTTCAAATGGTTATTTTTTAAAAGACTCACTTTATCAAGGTAGAAAACCACAACCACAGGAAAACTCAAATTGTCTGGAAGCTTAATTGTGTTTTCCTCAAACTTACCACGTTTTTCCCTTCTTTCCATTAGAGGTTCCCCTAACCTCCACCCTTTTTGGTTTTTTCCAATAACTTATTCCGACATAGTTTCCCTGGGACCTACAGTGAATACAACCCTTACAAACCTAGAAATCAACTACTCTTGAAAATTTCTCAAGGCAACATTCCTCTGATTCCAACAGTCATGTAATAAACTCCTCTTATGACCAAAGGATCCTATTATACGCTTTGGAGAATACAAAAATACGCCAGTCCTGCGCTTTAGTTATCCTTTGCTGCACAACAAATTACTGCAAAAATCAGCAACTTATTCCCTCCTAGTTTCTGTGGCTCAGGAATCCAGAAGAGGCTGAACTGGGTGGTCCTAGCTCAGAGTCATTCGGAAGACTGCAGATCAAGGCGTCTGCAGGAGCTTCAGTCACTTCGAGGTTCAGCTCGCGGGGAGGATCCACTTACAGGCTTACGTGTGCCTTTCCACAGGGCTGGCTCCACGCATCTCCACGTGGCCTCTCATTCTCCAGGGCCTCCCTGGCAGGGCAGTCTGGGAGAGCCAGGGCTTGTTTACATGGTGGCTGGGCTGGGTGAAAGGGGTGACGAGGGAGGAGAGAGAGGAGGAGGAGAGGAGGGAGAGAAGGAGGCAGTGAGAGAGAGAAAGGAGGAGGGAGGCAGGACTAGCAAGAGCACATGACCAAGATGAGTGTCAGTCTTTTTATAGCCTTATCTTGGAATTGACATCCCATCACTTCTGCCATAGACGTTTTATTAGACCAACCCACACCCAAGAGGAAGGAAACAAATGAGGATCACTGTGGGCCATTTTAGAGGCTGCCTCCCACACCCTGCCAGGCTCCACATCGTGGCCAAGCACACACAAATGCAAATGTACAGTTAACGGCAGATGCAAAGAAGCTTGACAACGGTAGAAGGGAAACACTCCAAGACAGTAGGAGGAGAAGAACTTAATTCCATTTGGGAGATGCTGGAAAGGTTTCTTGACGAAAGCAAAACTGGAGCTAGGTTTCAAACAGACCTCAAAAAAAGCAATTTAGGCAGCCAGGACAGCTAGAGCAAGTGGTCTGGGAACCGAGCAAGCACCCAAATCAGCTGGAGGGCTTGTTGAAATGCAAACAGCTGAGCCCCACTTCCAGCATTTCTAATTCAGCACGTGGTGGGGGAGGGGCTTGATCATTTGCATTTCGGGCGACGCTGGTCCCTGGTCCAGGGACCACGCTTTGAGAAACTCTGGCTTGGGTAGTAGTCTTTTTGTAAAGTAGCAAATAGATCTTTTTATTTGTCAATTTGGACTGATTCAATTAGTTTCAAGATCCTCTTAGAATCAGTGGAAATGAAAGGCATTAGCCTGTACTTAATGAATCCCCGAACTATCCACTTTTAGTGGTGGAAAGGATTCAGAGAATATAAAGCCATCATTTTACAAATGAGGAAATTGAGGTTAAGGGATGGGCTCAAACAGATAGTATGAGTTTTCTTCAAAATCAGGTGGATTTTTGTGGTTCCCTCACTCAAGGGTTCCTGAAAGAAACCAGACCAGAGCGCTCTTCCTTTGGAGTCTGAGTGCTTTCTACATGAAATAAGCTAATGAGTTTGTGATCCACTCTCCCAGTAGAATACTCGCCCTCTATAAAATGCATATGCCCATCCTCTGGTACGGAAGGAAGGCTGAAAGAACTCTCTGAACACCTCTGGGTCCATTATTCCATGTGCAAATGGATGTATGTAACTCCTACCTGCCTTCCCCATACTTCTGCCCTCTCTTAGCCTCTGTGGTCCTTTTTCTTTCACGAGGCCAAATTTAGCTGCCAGAACTTCTCTGCAAAACCCGGATTTGGGGTTCTGTTTCTTTTTAAAGTCTAAATAATTAGTAAAATCGCGTGCAAGCTGGGATGAGTCTATCTCGACTCCTGAACTACGTTTTCTTTGGAAAGAGGGTTAATGAAACCCTGCAGTTTATTCCTTGCAATGTATGCACAAAATTAGCTCGGTGCCTTTGTTCTGTTGTCTGAGCTTTTGTCACCTTTTATTTGATTGTACTTACAGAAACAGTATGAAGACATTTAAAAGAAGCCCAAGGGAATCTCATTTGCACATTCAAACACAAGCATTCTTTATCATTATTCCCCTACCCCTGACTTCCTTTACGCTCACTCTTGCCCCAGTTTACCGCCCTTCACCCTACTCTGACATAATATTCTTGCTCCAGAAGCAGAAACAAAGATTCGAAAAGTAACTGAACTGTAACCCCCTTTGCACTTGTGGTTTCTGCACTTGCTTAAGCACAGGTGTCTCTTGAATTGTGACATTCTGAGAAGTCCTAGAGCTCACCAACCACACTTCCTCCAAAGGGTAGGACCCGTCCTGTGCTGTAACCTTGAATGATAAGGTAAACTTCAGACAGACAGAGGTCAGCCAGAACATCCCCGCAGCTTCCCTCACACTCAGCCCTGGCTTCTGAGCACGCGCTGGTTAACTGGTATGAGAGGACACCATGTACCTAATGCCCTTCTGAAGAGCTGAGACGTGAAAATGGCAAACCGTAACTCCCTTTTATTCGTTGCCTTTACCAATTCAACCACAAACTGCTTCCTCTTCTCCCACTGAGTGCCGTTTAATGAGCTCTATCAGGTATACAATAGAAGCAGTGAACCACAGGGGCATAGAGAACACACCTTGTGAGTAAGCACATGGTCTCTGGGCTTGGCCAAGTTATTCAACATCCCCAGGACTCATGTCCCTCATTTGGACTTCAGTTGCCTCACCTTAAGTGGGGATGGTAAAACGAAGATCATGGACACCAAGAGAAAATTCTCACTATCTGTGTATATCTTAGTCACCTGATACTACCCCTGGGTTACAGCAAGTATCCAATAAATGGTAGTCATGACAGACTGGGCAGTATATTAAATACATGATTTTTCTCCCAAAGAAGCTCACAGTCTTTGCATACGATGTTACTACTGTTAAAAACAAGATGACAGCCCAAAATGGAGTGGCTTATGCTAACCCCTGCATCACCAAACCAAGATTTAATTACAGTCTGGGGCTCTCTCAGAGACGGAATCTTAAACCAGTCAATCAGGAATTGACTCATCAGCCCTAGTGAGGTCATCTGCCTGACAGACTCCGCCATCCCCTACAGGAAAGTAGCCCTGCCACCACCAATCTGCCTTTTGCTCCTGTAACTTAAAGAAGTTACTTTGTTTCTGTTCCCCAATCTGCCTTTTGCTCCTGTAACTTAAAGAAGTTACTTTGTTTCTGTTCCCGTCTGCCTACGAAAGTCCTTCGTGTTGTACAGCCCCTTGGAGCTCCTTCCTATCTGCCAGATTAGATGCCGCCCCATTCAGGAATTGTTGAATAAAGCCAGTAAGATCTTTAAAATTTACTCCACTGAATTTTGTTTTCTTAACACAGGCTTGATGTTGGTTTTCATTAGCTCAGAACCATCTTTATGTATGATACCCTCAATTCCAGCTAAACTAGAGAAATCCAAGCTTACCTGAACATTACACCAGGGTCAGACTCTGAAAACTTCTGCATTGCCCTGAAATGCCCAATGTGCTTTTCCCAACCAACACCGGGTTATTAACAACGTCATTTTCTAAGTCGTTAGTAAGAACTGTCAGAAAGGAATCACTCCTTGTATCTTTCAGAGGTTGACAGAAGAAAAAAGAATTAAAAAATGTTGGCGGCTGAAGCATCAGCCACTGACATAAATTCATCTGAAACAAAGATGACTTTTTAAAAAAGAAATCTGTGCTGCGTGTAGACACGGAAAGAAAGACACTTTGGTTGCAAAATTCCCCCATCTTCTCTGGGGAGGCTCATGCCTCCGCCTGCTGTTCATCAATCAGCCTTGATTTTGATGGGGCGATTTTTAGTCAGCTGCCTCGATCATCTTGGCACAGACAAAAATCCTTTAAAAAATGTTACACTTCATCAAAGTGTATCATGAGACTTCACGGTCATTATCTCAATGGCCGCTCTGATGTGCTACAATTGGCAGAGACACAAACGGTAGGGGGTGTATGAGAAGGAAGCCAGCATTCCGTGTGGAGCGCTGGCGAGCCCCGCCAAGCTTCTGTCAACAACTCCGCGGTCTGATCCGATGCACTGAGCGTGCTGATGATGCTCTTGTTTCTGGAGGAAGTAAACAAGAAAATGAATGCCACCGCGCAACACAGCCTCTTTGTATCTTCAAAATGGTGTGACTGGACCACGGCCAGCCGCGTTGAAAGTTTGGCCATTTATGTCATCAGGGCCCGGTACTGATGGAGGCTTTGATGACGAGTTGGACCAGCTCTAAGACTCTTCAGGGGCAGCCACGCAGCAAATAAAGGCATTGATTGGTTGTTGGGTCAATTTAGCCATAAGGGTACAGAGCACGGCTCTTTTGAAAAGCCTAATGGATTAGCTACACAACCAGTCCCACTGTAGGCCTTATTTTTCAAGTAAGTTCAGGACAGTTTTCCAGCTTGGCAGGGAACAAGCTCTTCCCCCAGAGCAAGCTTCAGAGCGGTTCTTGTTATCAATAGTGGGCTCGAAGGATTAGACACAGCGGGCTTTACAATTTAATGAAAACAGCTGTTGAAACAACAATTAAGGCAAACAATAGTTTGCATGGAAAACTATTAATTATGTAAAGTTATGCAGAAAGTGGAATACGCTTTTATTCAGGGCCTTCTACAGCCACTGAGCCGCCTTCCACTCCAGGGCTCTCAAGTGTCAGGAAGTGGGGTGCTTGTAGGAAGCGGCTCCATCGCATGTGGGCTGAATGCAAGCAGAGCTCCAGCCTGCCAGTTTGCTGCAGAGCAAGTCATGGGTAAAATATTTCGGAAAAGAATATCCGTTAAACTTCCATTACCCTGGGCACCGGAGATCTTTTCATACAAACTCAGAGCTGTGTTTTCACAGGTATCTGAAATTCCGTTTGAGCCTTGGGGTTGGGATCTCTGCTTTTGCTTTAAAAAAAAGTCAAAACAAAACATTTCTAGAACATGCCCCCTTTCCAGCCCCACACACCCTGCAAACGTATTAAGGATAACATTACTTTCTAAGTCGTTAGTTAGGAACAGTCAGAAAGGAATCACTCTCCGGGAATTGGTGGAGCTCCGTGTCCTTAGGGCTAAGTAGGTTTTCATTCCATTAGGATGGTCCAACTTGGACTCTCAATCATTCCCTATCCACCTCCTCCCCTAGAACAGCTCATCTCTCCCTCCACTCTGCTTGCTGGGGCTTTTAAATTCACTGCTTCTCTCTTTGCAATTTCCATCCTTGACTAACAGTGCTGGGAATTGACTTATGGCCCTTCGCCTATCCTGTGTTCCACATCTCACTCTCCTCCCCATCCGGGAATCACCAAGCCAAGAAGTCCCATTAAGAAGGTTATTAACTGTACACATAAACATTGCCTCCTGCCTACAGTTAGATTTATTTCTCGTCACTTCCAAGTAACTGGTTTTAACACTCTTTCCAGCACGCCCAACACCTTTTATTTGACTATATTGTTTTAGAAAGGCCTTTGGGAATTTGGCTAATTTCATGCTGGAACTTATTAAGTGGGATTTGACACTCTTTGATAATTCCAATAAACCATTAGTCAAGTCTCACTCCCTTCAGGGAAGGAATGAAAGCTTTATTAGTCAGAGGGTCTCTATTCTAAACATGTCACCTGAATTTAGTAGGGCATCTGTGCTGAAATGCAATTGACTTTGTGATTGAATAGAACTCTCCCTGAAATTACAAGAAAGCTGTCATTGGCTATCAACACGAAGAGAGCATCTGCCTTTTTCTGAATTCTCATTAGGTTCACCTGTGCATTTTGAAATAATTCAGTGAATTTAATTTACTGACCTGTGAATGTTAATAAACAGCACACACAAATTCTCTCTAAAATACTTAGTTTAGTCCTTTCTTCCACCCAGGACATGAGAATACAGAATAATTTCCTTCCCTTCTACAGAGAGTTTAAAAATCTTGAGAGATCCTATCTCTAGAAGGCCCCCAAAACATAATTGAGTGTGCAAATGAAATTCATTACCAGGGTCAGAAACAATCCAATTAACATGTATTTGCGTAATGCCTTGAAAATCATTCTAAACTCAAAACCACATTCATCTTTGAAGTATAACACAAAACAAGTACCCTATCCCAGCATACTCCAGTTCATACTTGGCACTGGAGAGTACAAAACAGCATCAGGATTGCAAAAGCAATTATTCCAGTTATCCAGATGTGATTTTTCAATCATTCTAAGAATTTTTTTTTTTTAAGCAGTTCTTATTCCGTGGCACCACTCACAGCTCTCACGGCTGGCACGGTGCTTACATCTCTTCATTATTAATTCAGCTCATGGAGCTTAATTGGACAAGGCTAAAGCGAATTTGACAAACATCACAGCAGCAGAAAAAGCAATCACTCTTTCAAGATGAAAATTTGTTTGATGTCTTACTGTGTAACTCATTTACTCTCCTCGGGAGTCATGTGACCTGAATGTTAATCAGCCATTGATTGGTTTCTCTCCTCGGACAGTCACGTGGCTCGAATATTAATGGGCTGCACTCTGTAGCTGTACTGTTAGGCAACCTTGTGATTGGCTGCTAGGTTAAGATATGGAGATAAGTGGGTGCTTGATGAGCACTTGACAGAACTTCACAGAAAATTAAGGCCCTAAAATAGCATGAGAAAGTCTTGTCAAATCAAGCATGATTATCACTGAATGCTTAAGGAATTCATCATCTGCATGAAATTGATACACTTCAGCACCAGCAGGCCCTGCAGTCAGCAGGGACTCATCAGATTTTTATTTATATGTGTTCACCAAATCACATTAATTCTGAGAGCTAAAACATGCTAAGGATGAAGGTTATTTTCTGTTCAATCTAATTTATCTATGACAATAATCATCACTAATAATGTGTCAAATTGGATTGCAGTCATTTTATGCATGCATGCTGATTTGGAAAATAGTGTTAAACCATCCCGCGGTAATTAACAACCGGTAAAGGTATGCCGGGCCTGAAGTAATCAGCATATCTAGATGGAAAATTAAGTTTTATAGAATGGATTTATAGATACATATCCTTATTTAATTCAGAATATAAATTATTCCTGGTAAAAGCCGACATCATTTTTATAACACCATTAAGGCCAATAACCATTGAGGGACTTGCATCCTTAATTTGCTCCATCCTTCATTTTTTCTCTCGTTTTCTGTGGTTAACTTTCTAATGGGTGTCACTTCCTTCTTGGCAAGTCCTCATTTTAGCAGGGTTTGGTAAGGCTAGGAGATGAATGAATATGCATCGGTTTGAGTGTTAATCGTGGATGAAGGACGCAGCATCATACCTCCTAATGCACAATGCTGTATAATTACTGGTGGGGTTGGGAGGTGGGCATGGGGAAAATACAAAGAGAGGGGTGGGGACAGACTTTGGCCTCTTGGTGTTTCTCTATTATTTCTTCTCACAAAGGGACAATAGGAAATTTTGCAGATTAACTCATAAGGGATTAATGTTTCTTGGGGAATCATTTAAGCCTAAATTGCTTTTGTGCAAATACCTTTTATGGAACAGAAGTTGTTTTGTTGTTTTGTTTTTTCTTTTTCTTTTTAAATAACCTCCAGGTTTACAGGGCATTACAGGAGTAAGGCAGTATTAGAGTAATGAAATCTTAAAGAAATGTTCATACCCTTTGGTGAGTGTGGCTAAAACGTTTGAGAGGAGCACTACACCTTGGAAAGAGGGAAATAAATACATATAAATTGTTGTTTCTTTCCCACCACTGCCCCCACCCCCACCTTAATCTCCTGGGCGACCAGGACCGCCCCTGCTCTCTCTCCCCCTTGCTCAGGAGGTCTCTTTATTGATTAAATGAATCTGCTCCAAAGGCTGGCTCCCAGGCTCTTTGATCTAATCCGATCTGATTTTATCCTATCGCTTCAGCAGGACATCGGGGAATTAACAATAAGCAGCTTTACCACAAGTGTTTAATAACTCAACACAATCTCCTTATGGCTCCGAGCTGCTCATGCTCCCATCCAGTCCACGGCAAACAGTGTAACAGATTGGCCATCCCCCCTGAACCTGAGGAATTTTCATGCACTGTGAAACTAATCGCTTCAAGTTCCTTCATAAATCACACAAAGCAGATTTTAGCATCTTAACAAATTGAAAAAAAAAAACCCCAAAAAACCCAACCAGTAGAGTGGGGTAGGGGTTGGGGTGGGGGAGTGGCAGTGGGGACCCACATTCCAGCTAAAAGGAGGTGGGGGAGAGGCGGGTGCCCCAATATTGCAGTGGGGGAAGGGACAGATGTAAAATAACTTCTGTCTTCTTATGCAGTATGTTCCTCATCTCCTTAAATGTTAACATGAATGAAGTAATTTAGGCCGGCTCAAACCTAACAATGCGCTAAGCTCACAGGGACATTATTATTACTTTTTTTCCCCCACTGTGATGGAAGCGATGTGGTTTCAACAACAGGCCTCTTATTATTGTTCCTGTGACAGCCCTTGAAGTATGCAAGCAGCACACAATTAGACGAAAATTGTGCGTCCTCCGCGGTGCAGACAGTTGAGATGTCAGGCTGAAACAGTATGTCCCCTGGACTTCAAACCAGTATACACGCAGAAAAGTGTCTCAAATGATAACCTCAATTACAAAACGCCATTCCTGAAATTCTTGAAATGCTATTTTTTTCCCCTGCAGCTGCCCCCTGTATATATATATATATATATATATATATATATATATATATATATATCCCTATCTGTAAATTGTAGCAGCAGAACAGATTGACATCTCACCCCTCTCCCCTGCCAAAAAAAAAGTAGTATCATATCCCTCTTTTCTAAATATCACAAGCACAGGCAGTAAAGGTGGTTCTCGCCTTTTGTAAGGCAGGAATTTTGATTCAAGGGCTCACCCTTAATGCTGGAATAGACAGAGCTTGAGAGGAACTCAGAGGCGAGATGGGCTTGTGAAAGCCGCCGAATTATTAGTGCCATGGGGGAAATATCACTCTAGCACTAATCTAAAATAAAACATCTTTCAGTTGCTCTATTTAATACCTACCGTACATCAGAATTACCTATAAAAACACGTTTCATAACAGAGAAACAGCCCTAGCTCTCCACCTCTGTCGCTGTTCTCTCCATTACCTTGGCAGTTGGGCGATTTCTCGCTACATCAGCAGAGTAACGAAGTGCCCTCTAACTGAACATCTGGGGGCAGAAGGAATTTTATGAGTCAGGTTCAGGCCAGATTACTATTACTATGGTGACATCTTTTTCCATATCCCCGGGGCCCAGGGTACTAACAAAGTCACTCAGATACAGCTGGATGCTTCATTATTGCTTTCCTAAGTAAAAACATTGATTTTTATATCCTTCTCCATCCGCATCCACTCATCAGTATTTATTCAGATTTTCCCACCGTTATATGAGTTCAACATTCTGAGTCTACCCTCTCCCCACCCCCAACCCCCCTGCCAAAAAAAAGTCTCCTCTGATTTTGTGATCTACTCAATATGGAATGGAACGCTAGCATGAATAGTGTTATTATTTCCTCTTTAGAAATGACTTTTGCTCTACTTTTTTTTCCCCCAGATAAACTATGTCATAACAGAAAAATCTCTGTGAAGTTCTCCAAAGAACTCTGTGCTGCTTCCAGACCCTGGGACTATAATTATGCCTCGCATAATTAAAACAGAAAGAACATCCCCTGCCAACTGTGAGCGCCCCTGTTTACATCACAAAGAGATAGCAAAATGTACTCAGGAAGGCTCTGGCCAAAGTAATTGAGAGGGCTGCCTGAGCCCAGCTCTGCTTTCTAAACACTGTCCTGGGGTTAGGAACTAGGGGGGCAGGGCAGAGGGAAGGCAGGGAGGAGGACGCCTGCCAGAGGCCTGGTGACTCTTCCCGCCTGGGCATGATGTCACAGAGCTCAGTGATTTCGAGGGCTGGTGGTGACTGAAGTCTTACAGCACATTTAGTACAGGTGCTTCTATGGGGGAGCTGCAGACCTGTCACTCCACTGCATAGTGGCCTTCAAATGTTCTGAATCCCTGAACTCACACGCAAAAAGTTCAGAGCCTCAGGCCAGGGTGTAAACACATTTTTGACACTGGGTAGTACAAAGCGGATTCTTCTGCTCACAGTTCGGTCAGTTCACAAGCTCGCCTTTCTTTGGAGCTTTCTTTGTAGGTTGCAGCAGTTGGAACACGAAAAGAGAGGAAAAGACAGAGAAAGATAGAGAGGCAGAGAGAGAGAGAGAGAGAGAGAAAGAAAGAAAGAAAGAAAAAGGAAAAAGGAAACCAAAACCAAACCAAATCCACAGGTTGAAAAAAACCCTATAAAATAGAAGTGCATTATGTTTTTGTTTTCAAAATGTAGCCAAACGAAACCATTAAATGAAGATTTTGTTTCACAAAGTCTGCAAACTATTCCATGCTAACCCACTACACCGAGAATGTGGTGCCAACCAAAATATGTCAAGATTAGTAGTACTCAATAAAATCTCAAAACCAAATGACATGCAAGCTGTATTTCATGATTAGAGCGCTTCCTTATGTCAGGGAACATACATATTAACTTGTTTAAACACAGCGATGGGCTGTCACTCTGTTTGTCAAAAGCAGAGGAAGGAGAATATAGTACTTACCAAGCGCATCCAGATGATACTTCACACGTTCCATCTTCCTGGCAGACAGCATGGACCCTGTCCAGTGAATCTTTACATCTGCGAGAAGAGGAAATGAAGGAGAGACGGAGAGAGGGAGAGGGAGGGGGTGAGGGAGAGGGAGAGAGACCCCTTCCCACTTGACAAAGCAGGGTTTGCGAATGCTTTGCTCAAGGCCCTGACACATAGGGACAGAGCTGGAATTAGAAGAAAAAGTGTTTACTTTTCCTACCAAGTTACCAAAATGACAAATGAGAAACACCTTGAAACTTTTTTTTAATCCTAAAAACTAACATTTGCATAAAGCTTTAAGGCCCACAAAGGGCTCAAGTATATATATTTTCTCACTGAATCCTCATCACTGTCCTAGTCATTTATATATTATCCCCATTTTACAAGAGAAAACCCAAGGATTGGAGAGAAGACGTGGGGTGCCCCAGCAGCTCCTACGGAACCAAGGAGACGCCTCTGTTTCAGGCCTCTGCGCCACACGGGAACTACAGGAAACACAGCATCTCTTTCTGCACTGACATGTGTGAGTTTGAGCAGGATTCTAAAAATGTAGAGGAGTAATTATCTCATTCTCTGACTGTCAACGGCAAGTTGCTGCTGGGCGCTCCTACCTGGCAGGAGGATGAAAGGGAGGCTGTTCTCTCATTTACAAAATACAGGAGTAAGATGTGTGGTTCTGTCAGGAACACTTGAGGGGCCTTTGGGGTAAAAAGAAGAAAGTAGAGCCTGCTTCATCCATTATTTGGGGGCTGCTTCACTCACTCGCATGAGCCTGGCAATCCTTGACGGATGCTGATACGGCAGAAGGGCTGCTCCCACGGCAGACTCTCGGCTACAGTGCCTCCATCTTCCCCACCCCCTGTCCCCCAACACCCGCACATCTTTGTTCTTGGGACCTTCCTGATGCTGGGGAATCCCTGCCACCCTGTATCTGCCCTGCAAGCCTTGGAGGGTGGCCGGAGAGAACTGGAATTCGAGCCAGTGTCTCCTCCGACATGTCGCAGTGTGGCTCCTTCCAGTATGTCTGCCCTTCACACTGCAGCCGGAGGGGGCTGAGGGAGCCGAAATGTGGTGGTAAGGTCCATTTCCACCCACTGGCATCCTCCTCAGCCTGATGAGAAGCCAAGCTTTTCAAGATGTGGGCACCGCTTCATTTCCACTCTGGCTTCAGTTCCTGACACTCATCCATGGACACCTGACCCCACCCATGCTTAGCAGATGACTTCTGTGACGGGATGAATTGTGCCCCCCTAAAAATTCATATGCGGGTGCCCTAACCCCCAGTGCTTGAGAATGTGACTATGTTTGGAGATAGGGCCTGGAAAGAGGTAATTATGCTACATGAGGTCATAGGAGCGGGTCTTAATCCAACATGACTCGTGTCCTCATGAGAAAAAGAGATCAGGATAGAGAGACAAGACCATGTGAGGATAGAGCAAGAAGGCGGCTGTCAAGCCAAGGAGAGACACCTCAGAGGAAAACGAACCTGCCAACCCCGGGACATCTAGCCTCCAGGGCCGTAAGAACGCTCATTTCTGTTCTGTAAGCCTCCTCATGAGCGCTATGCGGTTACAGCAGTCCTGGCTAACTAGGACAGCCTCTCGTTCCCAAGCCGCGCTCTTTCTCACAGCCCTGGAGCCCCGCACGCCGGCCCCTCGGCCTGCCCGCTGGCCTCGTGGACACATCTTCATCTCCAATGTTCCAGTCAAATGCCAGGTCTTCTCTTTCAGGCGGCCCTCCCAGCCAAGCATGGGTGCCCAGCAGCTCATCTGTGATTACACGGAGGCTGTGACACACCTCTACTACGTGGCCCATCCCCTGAGCTTATCTGATGGCCCATCTTGTGGTAAACAGCGAGTCTCCTGGAAAAGGGACGCCCTCTTACTCATTTCCCGGCCCAGCACAATGCCCATCAGAGAGAAGACATTCAATTAATGTTTGACAAAAGGACAAAGAGGAGAGTGGAAGGAAACAGCAACAGCAGTAGCCACAATAACTAAACGTTACTGTATGTCTGCATGTGCCAGATGCTATTCTAAACCCTACACTGGTATCAACCAGCTTTATCCTCCCAATAACCATACAAAGTTAAAAGCGTTGTTATTCTCATTTCACAGGTGAGGACCAAGGCATACCAAAATAAGTAAGCGGCCCAAGGTCAGCAGAGCCAGAGATTTAAAACCACGTATCTGGCTGGAATCTACATTCTTAAGAAAATGTCTTTCAAGGAGAAAGAGGAGGAGAAAAGGAAGATCAGAAAGGAACAAAAGTTGGGGAGAAATCACCAACTCGGGCAGGACGCTTACATTTTTGAAACTCAGTTTCTTCATCTGCTTATTCAGGAAAGGCTCGCATGGGATGATATGTGAGAATACGTTCTAACTGCAGGGCGCTGTAGGGCCACAAGGCCTGTTTTCAGGAGCCAGAAATCAACCAGGTAACCTCACAGGCCTTTGACTTGGGGACTGGATTTTCAGGTTGAGATGCTTTGCATGGTCTGCCCAAGCAGATCAATTCAAGGCAGAGGAGAATGGGGTTGTCAAAGATGAGTGCTGGAAAGGAATGCTTCCTTGCCACCCACCAGGGTCAGAAGTCACATTGCCTTTTTCCAGAACTCTAGTTCTGCCCCCTGGGGTTGTACATTCCAACTGACCTGGCCGGGAGGGTCTCTGAGGATACACTACAGGGGCGTTGCCTCTGATTCAGAAAGCCTACATTACATCCTTGAGAGTCCTGCAGATCAAGGTTACATTCAAATTTCAGTTTACTAGCCTAGTTTACTGGACTTAGTATTCAGAGCTGGGGTCCTGAGGTTCCCTGTGGGGTGGAAGTTCTGTTTTCAAACTGGACTTTTCCAGGTTTGATTTGTTTGTTTTTTAAATACTGTCTTCTGGAATGCCTTCATATCTCTGTTTCCTTTGTTTCATGCACTGAGCATGGAACAATGACTAAGGGAACCTGGTAAAGAGACAGGTTTAGCTGTTCTATACCTGCAAAGACTCCTCTTCTTGGAAGGTTTTTAGATGACCTATTTACCTAGGCTGGGAGCAGAATGGTTAAAGCACTTGGAGGAAATCAAACTAAATAGAGGGCTATGTGTAACAAAATCCCCTCCAGAAGACTCTGTCTCCTCCAGCCACTGTAACCAACCCCGTAGCATCAGGTGAAGGTTCTTGATTATCTCCCAGTGGCATTATGTCTCAATACACAGCTGATAATAAAACTGATGGATTATCAAACAAGATTACCGCTTTAGCAAATAAAATCATGTTTTGTGTTAAGAGAGAAAATGCTTACTATCCCTATCTGCCCGGCTAAATATTTACATATCACAGGCTTTCTAGGGTCCCTGTTCTTTCAAATCCGACTCTTTAAAAACAACACAAAGGTTAAGTTAACAAAAAGGGAACACACTGTGCTTTCGACACCAAGCTAAATGCACCCCTGGGAGAAAACAGGTGCTGCCTGGAAGGTAGAAGTAAATCGAAGGCCTCAGGTGCTGGTGGGATCAATGGGTACATGTGACAAAAAACAGAGCTCCCTGTGTTAGGAGGGATTCAGATGCTTACTTTAAAGGGAACATAAATGAAAGAGAATAGAAATCCAAAGTGTGTGTGCAGCTCTGTGTGTGTGTGTGTGTGTGTGTGTGTAAGAGGAGGAGCACTGGGCTTGTATAAAGTCTCATGCTGGCCTGCCGCCTTATACCTTCCAAAGTCCCTTCTCCTTCACTGCCGATACTCCTCTCCCTGTCTCCCCACACCCCCAATTTCTCCGTTTTTCCTAATCTCTCCATTTTACAGCTGACACAAAGGGAGGCCTAGGAGAAGTTACAGAAGGTCCTAGAGGGCAGGCCTCAAACACAAATCCTCTGCCTCCCAGTGCAGCCCCCTTTCTGTCGCACGTCTCTGCTCCAAAACAGAAATGCTCCCCTACGGGACAGGGATGGTGGAGGGCTGTTTTTTAAGCTCTGTGTATTCATATTGACAAATCTGAAGTTAAATTACTGTTTGCTTTACAACTTGTGGACAGAAATGGATGGGTGCCTATCTTTTAAGAGAGGAAGAGAGAAATAGAGAAATTGGTTTGGGAATTGTATACTGGTCAGTTTAAATTTTTTATCATCCCAGGGAAGAGGACAAAGCATTGATAACCATCATGGCTGGTTGTGGAGCAAGTTATTTCAGACGATTTGACTTCCTCCTTTGAATGACAGATCTTGCAAACATGGAAGGGTAAAGAGATGCAATTCTCTGCATGTGAAATTCAGAGAAGCTCTTAGGTCCAGTGACATTTTCCTCTGCCACACCAAAACAGCAAGGGGCTGACCTTCATGGCAAGGAATTTCTGTTCAGTAGACCAGGGAGGTCTCCAAAAGCACCAGGGCAGGATGCTCTGTGCTTCTGCCTCCACTTTGTCATGGGGCACATGGTCTTCTAGCAAACCAGAGTGATCCTGGAGGGAGAACATGCCGCCCCTTAGGAGCTGCCCCAGAAGCCAGTGTTCTATGTCCACATCAGCCACCAGTGCAGATTATCAAGTGAAAAAATAATAAGCATAACACGTAATAAAAATATATGTCTCTCTTGTAATGGTATGTCATCTACAAACTGCATCAAATATAAGCCAGTGAAATATAACTTTTCCATTTTCAAAATTAGAAGTTTGAAAACATAAAAGTTTTTAAAATGAAAGGGATACAGTAAACAATACATTTCAAATTATCTGCAAGTTTATGTAAGTACCAGCAATGAAAGTTCACCTTCCATCCCCCACAATCTCCCTTCCCTCATCTCCAGGATTCTCTCTAGAGCTTAGTATCTTTCCATTCTTTTTTATGAGATATATATATCTTTTCAGTTATATATAAGTACATAAATATTTAAGTATTATATAAACATATAAATATATACAATTATAATGTATAATTATATATACTAAAATATATACATGGTTTTACCACTTTATGATTCTTTTTTAATGCTATGTGTGAAAAATCAGGTTGGTAGACAGAACTCTCCATTCATCATTCTTTTAAATTGCCACTTAGCATTCAAGAATATAAATGGTCCATAAATTTCAGTTTGGGGCTATCATAACCAACAATGCCATAAACATTCATGCGTCTACTATTTGGTGCACATGGTGGAAACACTACGCTGAACGAAATGGCTGGTTTTAATTTCAGTAGGTCCTGCCAAAATATCTATTGATGTATACTTCCACTTATTAAATAGCCCACACTTTGCTCTCTAATCTGAAATGTGACCTCTCCCCGTACACTAAATACCTGCATGGGCTTTGGACTCTCTAACGTCTGTCACAATTTATCTGTCAATCTCTTCTCCAGTCATTTCAACCCCATTTCAACGGCTGCAGGTCATGTTTTGATATCTGGTGGA